CGCTCTGAGGTGAGGGGATGCGTGCTTGGGCCGCGACGGTTGACCGTTGTACCAAACAGACGCACCCAAGCGCCGTCGGGACGGGATGGCGAGTAAGTGTTTACAAAACGAACATGGCAGCGACATGACAGCTCGCTGAGAAATATTTCTTTGAACCGACAAGGAGGAAAGGAAGATTGTCCACCCGCCAACTATGCTACAACTCGACATGGCGGAATCGAAGCGGGCCAGGTTTCTACCACAACAGTGCCAACATCACTCGCGGAAATCGCACAAGGATGATCACTTACCGCAACCACGGTCTTACAACATCAACGACGTTGCAATTACTCTATCCGAATCTATGTTAGGGCCGATCCCATGGTCCGCCTCCGAGAAGTCACTAAAGAACACCGTCGCCCGCGTATTAGTCGACAAGGGCACCGAAACAAGTCCCAAAGTCACTTCGGCAAGCACCGTCTTCTCCATCATGAAAGCAATCGACGATCTCTGCTTCCTAGGCTTGCTCTTCCCGACACCCCAGATCAACCACGTATCGCACCCCGTCCTTCTAGAAGTCGGACAAACGCGGGGTAGGGTGGGTTGGACGCAGCCGCTGCGGGCTAGTAGGCCCGGGGCCCCCAGCATCGTCATCCGCCTGAGCACGGTCCGTCACCGCGATGACGGCACCACCACCACCACTACCACCGGTACCGGCAAGCCGCTACCACTCAGGGAGATTGTGCAGGTTGCTGTTCACGAAATGGTGCACGCATACCTCTTGTTGCTGTCGTGTCGGAGAGATAAGTGCGATGTGGATTTTGATATTATGCACCGTGACTCTGATGGCGGGGGCCATGGGCTTGCGTTTGTTGCAGTACTCAAGGCTGTGTTGGGGCAGATTCAGAGTTTGGCGCCGGAGTTACGGGACTTTGGGTTAACTGATGAGTCTATTCATCCGTATGAGGACTTTGGGCTGGAGTTGTGGAAGAGGGGGGATAGGATCTCGTCGAGGAGCAAGGGGCAGCGTGTTTGGTGGCTCGCTGCGAAGCCTATGTAATTGGTGAGGTGTGAACAAGCCTTTTGTTTTTGGCGTTGGGTACTGGAAATGGTAGAGCGAGCAATCGCTATTGAACTTGTTCGCTAGCATAGAGTGTCTTTGCGTCACTTACTACATCACCTTTGATAGTCGGGCGTCTTGCTTGTAACTTTGGTGGCTTTTCTACGAGAACGTAATGAAGGGGATTGACAATCTACCTCACTTACAGACAAGAATTACAAGATCATATCAAACATCGACATCAGGCTCAGCAACTGGTCTTTATTCAACACACCATCTGAATGGACACTGTCTCAGGCTTCATCTTCCATTTACTCAATTCTTACTTTTTCTCAAGAAGCATCTCAAACCCGTACCTACTTGGTTGTCATGAGCGACGATCTGAGTGAGATATAACTTACTTGACAAGCTTGAGTTTCGTAATATTACCGGGTTTGGAAACTAGTCTAGCCGCTTGGCTTGTAATTGCTACTTCTAGTTACTACTTAGTCGATAATCATTGCATCTTATCGCTCAATAGACTTAGTAGCCATCCCGAAATCCACGGGAACTAAGCGTTTACTGAATCCCCACGCTTTGCAAATTAATGGATTGATTTATGCGTGCGAGTGCCTTGGCGAATTGGGATGAGCGGGAGGCTTCAGGTACCAGCCCATCGCAAACGAAGTATCTTGCTTTTGGGCGATCCGAAGGAGCCTGTAGGGGTGGTTGACTCATGGCTTCTTTCCCATTCGTCTCTAATTATTTTGACAAAGCCCATCTGAACAAGTCGTAGATCTGAGGATCAGTCGCTCGTTCGTCATCTTCCTACCAACCCACTTTAGGCCATTACACTGCCTCAGAACTTGTCGTCTTTCTCAACCTGCATCTTTATAATCAGCCGCCAGCATATCCCGTTGCAAGTCGCCAATTTAAGCATAGCTCACTTAGCCAATGGAACCACGGACAGGGTGGTCATTTTTCAGCCGACCGCCAAGACGTCCGTCTTTGGCAATTTTAGCCAGGGGTTTTTGATGCTAGCGCAATGTCTCATGCATGATCTCCTCCGTCTTACACCTCCAAGGTTCTCACCAATATTTTTATTCTGTTGCCTGTTCAGTGGAGTCCCAAAAAGAAAACAGCACATTCTACAGAATTCATGTATTTGCGACCTTTGGCACCTCATTTCGCTGTGCAAATGCCTCTTTTACAAATGCAAGAGTTGGTTTTCGATTGGCCAAGATGGATTCCCCAGACGCACCGCGTGAACAACGTCCTTTGATTACAAATCCGGCTCTGGAAGGCACAGACAAGACAAGGAAGACGCTCAAAGAACCCATTGTTCGAGAAACGACGAGTCGCGGCAACTCGATCTACGAGCCATTGCAGAACCCCGATGACGGCAACTCGGCGACGGCCCGTAGCGACAGCGGCAAGGGCAGCGATGCCGCACATGATTTCCAGAAGGTCAGCTGGACGCCGTTCGTGATCCTGGCTGATATCTGTGCGGTCGTACTCCCGGTTGGGTTTCTTATCTTTGCCTTCTTGGTGTTGAGCATCAATGGGCAGGAGACAGACGAGGCCTCTGCTGGACAATATCGCAATGCAGTCACCATTGTACGTATTCTTTATCTTGCGAGTATCCTGTTTCACAGTTCAATACTGACATGGACTCTTCCAGCTTGCTACCCTCTTTCCCATAATATTCGCGGCTATCATAGGCCGTCTCATGTCCCAAATCGCCCGTTGGAAACTCGAAAGGGGCGCCACCATGGAAGCGTTGGAACAATTGATGGGAAGCCGGACTGTCGGTGGCACGCTATTGATTCATATCCAGCTTCGGGCCGTCAACCTCCTGACGCTATCACTCATTCTGATATGGATCTTCTCGCCTCTGGGCGGCCAATCCGTCTTGCGCATGCTCGAAACCCGACCTCGAAGCGTGGTTACTCCTTCAAGTGTCGTCTATTTCGACACTGATGCCCGGTCCCAGTTTGCATCCTGGTCAGATGCTTCGCCGACGAGCTACGCGTATAACATCAATCGGATGTCCATTGTCAATGCCATGTACAATGCTCTGATTCTCAGTCCCGATGCCGTAAAGAGCGATTCCATGGATGTCTGGGGAAACGTCAAGATTCCGGCGCTATCGTCGTACGGTAATTTTGAGACAACAGAATGGCAAGACGTCCCAGCAGATAAAGAGAAGCTAGAGTTTTCATCTCTCGTCGGCGTTCCCATCACGCACGTCGCTGACGGAAACACAACCATCTTGCTGGAATCGAGCTACATGCACTTCGCATGTGACAATATCAGCGTTTCAGCGTTCTCGTACGATACCCAATCCGGCCCTTCGTTCGCCACAGCCGTCATATTCAACGAAACTTCGCTCTGTATGTCCGACCGCTGCAGAACCGTCGCCAACGGGACCTGGCAGGGTTGGAACCTCAACCAGACAACCTCCTCAGACGGCATGTCAGGATGGAACCTCGCGCTTGACAACTTTGTAGATGCGCAGTGGAATGACTACGACTGGTACAGCAAGCGCGGGCTCAGGGTCGAGGATGCCAACCGCCCCAACGTATTTACGAATGAGAAGGGAGTGGTGGCTAACCGGACGACTTTACTCTTCCAAGCGAGGGAGCAGACTAGTTCCCGCGGACCACCAGATTACACGACGTCTCGCTGCGGCGTCACACAGAAATATGTCGAGTCAAGAGTGCGTTGCTCGCGAGACTCTTCTCCTTCCACCGCTCGACAGAGTTGTAGTGTCGCGGCGCAGCGCCCTTCTCAAAAGACCCACGCCGATGAGAATATCTCCCAATTGTCCTTTACAAGAGTCTTCCGCTACGTCTCGCGGAAGCTGCCTCAAGCAACAAACCACTTTGGCTCAAGCTACACGTCGGATATCTCCTTGAACTACCTCGAGAACCCATCCTCGATCACCATGACTGGTGCAAATACGCCGCCGGAGCTGGCGAGCATCAATCCAGAGGACTTTGGGTACCGGCTTGCGCAACTTGTCAACTCGTACGTTTTCCTCAGCCAAGCTTTCTCGAACGCCCCCAGTGGAAGCGTAGATGTCAATGCCACATTTGAGCCCAATTCCACTGTTGGCGTCGACGTCGAGACTTTGGTGGAAGTCTTCCACGTCCCTAGTCTATGGATGGGCCTGTATATCGTGTCTTGTGTTATGCTTCTCCTAGGAGGTTTCACAAGTGCTGTTGTCACGCATTTTGTCCACGGGCCGGAGATTCTGGGATATGCGTCGACTGTCGTGCGGGATTCCAAATATATGGATATTTCTCCTAAAGCTGGAAGAATGGACGGCATTGATCTCGCTAGGATGTTGAAAAATCGAAGGTTAAGATATGGGTATACTCAGGTGGCGGTTGAGGGCACTGCGCTTGTAGGCGTTGGGTCACAGGAGGAAGTGGCAAGAATGAAGCAGAAACATTAAGAGGTCGTGGTGGGGTGTGGAAATGGAAATTTCTATTTTCTAGAAACGTTTGAGAGCATGTACAGCATTTATTTACAGGAGTGTCTGCTTCTATTTGCCGGTGTGATCTAGTAAAGTGTCAAGTAACTCGAATGCGATGGTCCAATTACGAGGTATCTGGGGCATGGGAGGCTCAACTCGAAAAGTCGAAGAGAAAAAACAAATACAAAGACACTGAGTCGTCAAATGTGAGCCAAAACGTAGATGACTGAAGCGTATTGTTCGTTCTTTATCTGTTGAGTACATATAGTTTGATACGGCATATACCTCAAGCCCTGGACAAAGAGGCACTTTGTTTCTAGTCTCTAGGCATAGATACCAATTAAGGACTGTACATAGACAGCGTTCGCAACTCAATATGATTAGGCTTCAAGCCCACCGAGCTTATATTACGTCGGCTGTGGTCTCTGCCCGGCTTGTGAGTGGTCTACTTCGACGCCGCCAGAGACTAGAGTACAAAACTGTCGAGACATTGCCCCAAACATGGAGGCCCAACGACCGCGCCCTCCGAATCCTTCTGAACTATGTTCCTGCATTATCCACTGGCATGGACTTGGACCTGAGCTACCAGGTCAGTACGGCACATATCGCCTTCCAGATCTAGTCGCCAACACGATCGAAAACGGGCAAGCCCTGGGCTCCTACACCAACCTAGAACATCACGATGAACTAAAGCATGCACTAATCGAAGGATTCCATGAACTCTATAACAATCGAGACCCAAGTCACTATGCTCACATTATCAGGGTGGCGTCTCTGCTCGACCATTACTTTTTCAGAGGATGGCTTACGGCGCGTCGACGACGAACAGGCATCGTGCAGTCGCATCTCAAAGTGTGTATTCGGGAGAACAACGAGGTCTGCCAAGAAATAGGCAGCGCTTCGCACGTGGAGGTGGTCAAGGAGCATGCTAGCTCGCTTCCCAGCGTTGACGTTGACATTGACTCTGCAGGAACGTGGACGATTGCGCAAATCGTTGAGCTCCTGATCCATGAGATGGCTCACGGATATTTGATCTTGTTTACGTGTCGTGGGGGCTTTGATTACGTGGCCGGCTGCTCCTTTCACCATTCCGCTGCGAGAGGCCACCACGGTCTTTACCTGCGAAAGCTGCTGAGGCATGTGTATCAGACTATCCAGGAGTGGGACGATGTGTTGAGCAACTTTGGGACAGATTGTGTACTGAGCTGTCACTGCAATGATTCAGATTCTGCGTTTGAGAGAAGTAGATCAAGCACGCCAATTTAATCAAAACAGTTGGTTGAGACGGGAGAGACTGAAAGCTACAAGAGTGTGTTCAAGATCTGTAGGTCCAATCAAGGCAGCAATTCTTTGAAGGAAAAAGTTCAGTTCAGCATATGGTTACAGAATATTTTGTTCTCTCCAAGCCTGCAGTTCCATTCTCCTTATATCAATTTCGCCGAAAGTTAGAAAAAAATATAGATTAAAAACTCCGAAAGATGCGGGAGGTTGCTTTGAATGGGGATCCTTTTGCGTTCTGGAACGTGAAGACGAGTCAAACTCCCTGCTCTGTCGCCAATTGAGACTATATCTGAGATCCATGACTGACACCCTAATTTAGAATTATTGTCTTGCTTCTTACCGTGTAATACGAGATCGGGTTGAGCCATTAAAATCCAAAGCAGTGGAGAGAGGTGACCCTGGATTGGATCTTGGCCTCAGTTTCATCTCAGCAGTTGCAAGTTGTAACTTGTAAGCCACCAAACATGTACTTAGCTTTTTTGCGCACCTGTATGAAAATTGAGGCAGCCAGCACTCATTGGATCCGTATAAAATTTACTCCGTCTTATCACAGCTTCTGAACTTTTCTAACCCAAGTTTTGACCTGCCTTATCCTCAAGGCCTTCTGTACAATGAATTGTGAACGAGACAGTGGCCATGACGCGTAAATTGCTACGACTTCCGAATGGGAGCACCACCGGACTTGAGCGATTTCAATGACACTATATAATCGCCCAAATTGGAAGAAATCAATGAGAATCCAGGATGTCCTTGCTCGCCAGTGGAGCACCCCTTGGGACCCGCAAACGGTGCAAAGCTGCAAAGGCTTGGATCAGGCTTCGACGAAAGCTGGAGCTTTCTTTCGGCAAAATTCTGCCGGTTAGACCAGTGTGGAGATGGATTCCACCAAGGGTCGCACTGGTCGTAAATTTTGGAAGAGTCGTTGTCTAGTTTCCTACGGCCGCTGTTGCTGGTGTGTAAGGGAATCTAAAGATTGAGGCTCACCACCATGTCCCACTTGGCGGCGGCAACAAAGTCGAACTAAGCAGATCTCCAACACTAGGTTGTACGAGTAGCCTTAGCGCAAGCGTCATAGAGCTAATGTTGTGTAACGTACGGGATGTCATCCTTCGTCGCCCCGTCGACATGAATGTAGTAGCGGCAGGTACTTATCAGTGACAAATGTTGGCCGAGGTAACCCGCTAACAACTAAGTTCCAGGCCGTCTTGCTGATATCAAGCCATCCGAAGCTACAGTTTCAAGCTTCAAGTCGTCTTGGAGAAAGTGATTTATGGTATTATTACTATCAATGTCTGTTGTGACTCATGGTCTGGTGGTATCCTGATGTGCCCAAACTCCCAATGCTACATTTACCCAAATTTCAGCCAGTCCCGGAAGAGATAACCCCAATTTGTTGATGGCATCTTCCAGAATGCATTATTTCATAAAAGTCGTAGGTTCCCAAAGTCCCATGTTGTTGTACATTGTTATACCATGTGCGCCGGGCTCGGCCGAATCACTTCTTCGCTGCGCTCCGTCTCCACCACATAGTTACCAAAGCTGCCGGGCTTCTCGCTCGGAGAGTTTGTCGTGTATGTCTCGACCGCTTTGGGAATGGGCGAGAGCGGCGCGTTGGACGCCGGGCTACGGCTGTGTCGGTCGACCGTCGAGGGAACAGTCCTCGAGGTCCCCGTCCGGGTGACAAGCAGGCCCATGCGGGCTGCGAGGGCTTTGAGAGGAGGCAGGCAAAGGCATACCATTGCTGCCGAAAGCTCACCGAGGGACCACATGGCGGGCTCCACGTTCCAGTAGGTGAAGTCTGGATTTATCTTCAGGAATTGGAGGCGCAAGACGGAAATGCCGACGATGCTAGAAGGAGAGAAAAAGTCAGTCAGTCAAACTCGAGCATGACAGTATCGCAATATCCGAAACACTTACAGGAATCCAAGGCTGAAGATGCCAAGCAGGTACAGCTTCTGAGTCCTCGGAAGTTTGAGCTGGATCAGCGCCGGCAGCGGCAGCAGGAAAATGAGAACGTCCGTCACGATACTGCAGGCCCCGAAGAGGTAGAATAGGACTTGCTGAGGAAGACACTTTGCCGGTACTGAGTGGTCCCAAAATCCCTCAAGGGGAATACACCATATAAAGGAGATGATCACAACGCTAAGTCCCCAAGCCCCTACGAAGATCATGGCTGCGATGTAGTACTTCTTCATATAGTGGGTGACCAGTACGCGATAATACTGGAGCAAGAATGCCATCTTGAATGACAAGTGTCCCAGGCTGTAGAAGAGAACAGATACCCAAAAGCACTAAAGCGGTTGAATTTGTCAGAGCGGGTTTGATATGATTCTGGGGCAAGGCTGCTTACTTTCATGAACCCAATCATTTCTCCTGGTGGAACCGTCTGTTGGTGTTTCCCGAGCCCATACCGCGTCACTGTCGTCGATTAGTCTGAAGTGTTCAACTCGCATATTGCAACTTGAAATGAGCCAAAAACTCACTCACTGCCTGCGAAAGACCGACGCCTAATACCGATATCTACCACAGTCAGCTTTTCCGTCAATACACCACGAAGGCTTTGCCACGGTTTGCAACCTTTGGTTCGAACTTACCAACGAGAAAGCGGCAGCCCAGTCGTCGATACCAATTCTCTTGACAATGTGGAAGCGGGTCCAGAGTCGCAGGATCAATATGCCCGTTGATATGAAGAGGCACATTGATATCACTCCCAGGACCAGGGGCGACTTATCCTCCTGCAACTGCTCGGGCGATAACTGTGGTAAAGGATCCATGTTGGGCGTATGGATGGAACGCGCGATCCGCGCTCAAAAAGAGCTTCTTGATATTTGATTTATGGGCGTGTGTTTCTCTTTCTTTCTCTCTTTCTGTCTCTCTCTTCTCCTGTCTCTCCAAAGACTGGGTCTAGGGGTCCTCTCTCCCTTGGGTTGTGCGACGTGGAAGGGTGTTTAAGGCTCGCGGGGGGTTAGGGGGCTTGTGGGGGGACTAGCCATCCCTTATAAAGATAAAGATCAAAGACTCTCATCGAAGAAAGCCGGATCTTGACCCCAAAATGTCTCAAAGCACGGTTGGCAGCGAGGCAGACCGATTCGCTTTCCTTGGCATTTGGGCTGAGAAAGAAACAATCACAAGACAGTGGCACCTACCTACATTCTTGGGCGGGCTGTAGCTGTAGCTGTAGCTGTAGCTGTAGCTGACGGCTGGCGGCTGTGGTCGACGATGGACGGTGGCTGCGAGAAGAGGTTGCGCCTTGGACGCATGCAGTCAATGGAGGCGCACGACAAAAGCAAGGGAAATTCCCATCCGTGCCACCCTTTTCTTTTCGATCGATGGGAACGAGTGAGAAGGGCAGCAGGCAACAAATCGGCTCTAGACGTAAGACTTTGGATCAAGCAGTCATTGCTTCTTCTTCCCTCCTTCTCGCGCCGCAAGTGGTAAAGTGTCTCTCGCTTTCGGGAGGGCCTAGAGGCCTAGAGCTGAGACGGCGGCTGGATCATCCCCCCCCCAACATTCCAGAGGGTGCTGGCTTTTGGTGGCGTTAGTCTAGCTCACGGGAAACCGCGACACCGTTTTCAAAGATCAGCTCACCCAGGACCAAAGAATCCTCTTGGTTCGGGAGTATCACGAATAAGAAAAGAGCCCGCTAGATCGAGCGCCTGAAATTGGGGATCGAAACGCCGTTCCCCCGGTCTTTCTCGTATAGTTTAGCACCCAAAGGCAAGAACGCGGGAGGCCTTGTGCCGCGATGACCCTAAGTATCCGCGCCGACATTGCCCAAAGGGAAAGCACATGCGAACATTCATCGACTTGCACCTCGCCGAAGGTCGAACTCGAGAGCCGAAGTCCACGTGGCGTTGTCATCGTGTGGTTCGCATCTGGTAAAGTCTCGCCTCTCACCCGAAAGTCCGAGGTGGCCTACTTTATTCGTCGTGAAGAAGAGCCACAAAGATCATCCCCCGTGATGATTATTCACCATCTTGGCCGTTTGCTGTGCAGAGATGGAAGTTTCCGAGACATCCCTCAGGAGCAGATGTTCTGGAGCTCCCGTGGCTGTGGTATCACGATGCGACGATAGTGGCTCAACCCTGGAAATGGAGTCCTATTGTATATATAGGCCTAGAACGGCCTGAACATTCCTCCATCTTCTCTCTTTTTCGTTTTTCGTGTTTTTTTCTGCCCATTCTTTCACTCATTGCATCCGCAGATTAGGATCTCTGATGCTACCTCGGGCCTTGAGTCAGGTTTGCATATGCTCGCCCGCATGTCGTTCAACAAACGAGACATTTTTCGGAGTGATGCAGGAAAAGGCAGGTTGGAGGCTCAAGGCAAGAAAAAAACAAAACAAGACTTTGTACAACCACACTCCCCATGCAGGGTTGCGGCACGGCCGAGGCCGTACCGTACGGATGTACGTGCGTGACAGTACGTGCGTGCGTGCGTGCGTGGGGTTCGGTTCGGTTGGTTTGGGATGGTTTGCATTGGATGGGATTGGATTAATGGGATGTTTCCTTCTTCTTCTTTCGTGCCACCGGCCGGCCAAGAGCTGCACGAAAGTCCTCAAACTGGGGAAAGATCTCCACTAAACAGTGATCTGAGCGGTTCGCTTCGCAAATCGCAACCCTCTCGCTGTTTCGCTTCTTATGCCACTCTGGTTGATCGGCCACCAATTTCTCTTTGTCATGTTCCGAGCGAACAAGAGGTGCCAAATCCAACCTCACACGCACTTTTGCGGGAGGGGAGGGGAACAAGAAATTGTGGGGCTTGCCGTTGGTGGTCGGATGTTTGGCGCGGCTCGAGTTTTGACGCTACAGTTGCATTTTTGCAATTCGTATCCGTAGAGCCTCAACACTTGGTAACACTCATTTCAATTGCATTAACACACCTTGCTCTCAAAATTCAATTGTCGCACTTCTTGACATGATGCGACACAATTTTGTAACTAGTTCCCCTATTCTTTGCGTCTTTTTCGTAGGAATTGCGACTCG